GAACTCTCTCTAAAGACTACTCCTCATTCTTCACTGTATATATATATAGATTTTTTTTCTTACTTTAATTTTATCTTTGTGTTCTTTTTGTGTTAATATACGTTTGTCATGTGTTTTCTTTGTTTGTTAATGTAATTTTTTTTTTACTCCTTGTTTATGTCCACTTAAAGCTGAACTGTATATGGATTAGTATTTCCAATAAAGCCATATGTAACAACAATATAATTCAATAATAGTATTCTATCATTTGTTCTAATTTATTCATTATTTTTTGGCACAGAAGTAAGGGTCTAGCAGAAAAAACTATAAATAAATAATAATAATGAACTGTAAGTTTAAAATATTCGACCCTAACAATGAGTACGAATAAAAAAGATTTTCGTTTTCATAATTTCTTTTTAATAAATGGATTAAAATTGATATATGTGAAGAGAACTATTTTTCTGTTATAAAGACACAAAAGTACTTCTAAATAATACTAAAATAGGTGCTCGATTACTTTAATATAAATGTGGAAAAGAATATTCAATCTTTCTACCTTAACAACTATTTCTATTTCAAACATTGTTAATAATGATATGTTCATACAAAACCCCTTACCTATATATCCATACTTGCCCCGGGAAGTCATTAAATTGTTTAAACTTATTGTTAGTAAATTAAAAAGAAAGCGTAAGAAAATATGACTATTAAAGTTGCAATTAAAGCGCAAATTAAAAAATTACCTTATCACCATAAATGCCATATTTTTTTTATTTGCAAATTTATCAAGTGTCCTTTCTTATAACTAAATATGAAAATTAATATAAATTAAAGAAAATTACCATCAAACTTGGATTTTGAAATAGACCATCAACTGTTATGAGATTGTTCTTGTCCAATTTGATCAAACGTAAACTCGGGGACGGATCAAATGTTTTATCACCTAAACTATTCAACCTATTGTTCGTTAGAATAATTGATTGGAGTTTCACATCACCCAAGAAAGCACTGCCCTATAGTGAACTTATTCTGTTTTGAATCAATGAGGGGTTTACAAGTTCAGGACATTGATTGAAGTTCAGTTGTAACCTCAGTTAATTTACGGTCTTCAATTTCAAGCGCTTTTAAAGTCCTGATTCTACGAATGGCACTTGGAATTCTTTGAAATTTAGTGTTAGAAAGATGTAGTTTAGTTAGTGATCTAGTATGGGTGAAGGCGTTTTCTTCTATACTCAGAAAGGGGCATCTCATATTTATTTCAGATATCTTGTAATCAAAAAATATAGCTTTAAATAAATGTAGCTTCTGACATTTTTTCGTCACTATGCAATGGAGAAGCACTTGAACAACTGGTTTTAATTTCAAATCACGAACTAAGTAACTTTTTATAGTATATATAAGTTAACCACATTTCTGCAAATCAGTCTGAGATTTTTTTTCACATATCGCACCTTTCATATATCCTTTTTCGTGTCAACTAACAAAGAAATGCTAGTTAAAACCAGTAAAGTAACATTTATCGTTTTAGAAATGATAGCAAAGAGTGAAAGTTAGTATTTCGAAGAAAGCAAACATGGAGATAAATTTCACACTCTATTATCAGAAAGTTTGATTATTCTGAATAAATAGAAACTGGTTGTGAATAATAAAAAAAGAACAATCATCTTAGACCACATCAATCCAACTATAGTGATGTTTTCAAAACTCTTTGAATATTTTTCTTATTCTGATAAAATGTGTTTCAGAAATGAACATTATCTTCAACGTATAAGAAATCTGTTAAAAGGAAGCTATTTGTGATTGATAAACATACGCTTTAAGAATATCAATTTGAAAATAAAGGGGAACACCAACGATCTCTTTGAGATCTGCATACCTATTCCTGTTTTGCAGAAAAAAATAGAAAATACTATTAAAATAGTTACGTAAATTAGCAATTTTATAAGCGAAAAATAATGTTTTTGTACACCCTATGCCAAACAATAAAGGGTTAAACTTGTAACTTTTTGTCAATTGGATTGATTATTGTAATGTGTCAATTGTGTTGTATATTCCAATGCAATAACTGAACAAAATTTCGCAAATTTAGCTTAAATATTCATGAAGATATGGGCTTTTTTATCTAAAAAAGGGACTAATATTTTGACTCGTGTTGTCTTACTAAAAATGCAGAAGTATTCAACAAAATTATTAAACAAGTTATTATGAAATTATTAAATAAATTATTATAGATATTAATTGTAATTTTTTATTGATAACTAGCCGCCTAAGGCGGCCAGCTGTCCGCCACGCTAAAGGTTTTCACAAATAAAGTTTTTTGAAACATAGCAGGAAATCTGAAGATTAGTGGACAATTAAAGTGTTCCTGTCCTGCAATTTTGTCTTCATATCCAGTTCTGCTGCAGATGTGTTATAGCTCTTGAGGATGTTTGAAATTTTATAGTTACAACGCTTAAGAAAAAAAAACTGAAATGCTAAATACATGAAAAGAACACGAAAACGAATTAATTTTTTATGGTATCAATTTCTATATAATTTTTTATGGTACCAATTTCTATTTCTATATCGCTTCAAAAATTATCGTTTTCGCTTAAGAAAAAAAAATAGAGCGTGGAAAGAAGAAGAAACACTTATTATAACAATTATGAACAGCGACAAATATATCAAAGCGAAGTGTTCTATTTAAGTATCGAATATGTTGCCACATTTTTAATACAAAAGTTAAACTTTTCTCCACTTTNTATCAATTTGAAAATAAAGGGGAACACCAACGATCTCTTTGAGATCTGCATACCTATTCCTGTTTTGCAGAAAAAAATAGAAAATACTATTAAAATAGTTACGTAAATTAGCAATTTTATAAGCGAAAAATAATGTTTTTGTACACCCTATGCCAAACAATAAAGGGTTAAACTTGTAACTTTTTGTCAATTGGATTGATTATTGTAATGTGTCAATTGTGTTGTATATTCCAATGCAATAACTGAACAAAATTTCGCAAATTTAGCTTAAATATTCATGAAGATATGGGCTTTTTTATCTAAAAAAGGGACTAATTTTTTGACTCGTGTTTTCTTACTAAAAATGCAGAAGTATTCAACAAGTTATTATAGTTCAAACAAGTTCTTATGAAATTATTAAAGAAATTATTATCGATATTAATTGTGATTTTTTATTGATAATAAAAATATACTTTAAAATTTTGAAAAAAAATCGTTAAAAATGCGTAAGTATTTACTAAGCATTTAAATTAATCATTTCAAACTGCACATGCTCCTAAAACATAAACAAATTCTTTCATAGTTTAGTTCAAAATCTTATTGGTAACTTATAAAAAAATCTGATTTGAATATCTTGAAAATAAAAAAAGTTTCTTGCAAATTTCTAAGCAATCGTACTTTTTTTTTTGTTGAAAGCTCTGAACGATAAGACTTTTCCACAAACATCATTTTGTAATATAAACAAAATTTAAAAAGTAATGATAATACCCCAAAATGATGGTCTGGATAATACGATGTTAATAGGAAATAAAACAGATGGTGTGGTCCTATAATATAATGCCAATGTCATTTTTAATAAATATTACATAATACTACAAATTTAAATTTGAGGTAAACCCCTTTCCATTTATGGCTTTCTTTCCAAATTAACAAATTCTACTTAGAAAGTCAAAGTCTTATAAAGTCAAAATCCTATAAAGTCAAAATCTTATTAAGTCAAAGTTACTAAATAAAAATAATTCTTAACTCAGCTATATACAAACATGACAACTACATAACTTAATTCCATTATTGTATTATTTCATAACTAAGACATAGAGGCAGTGACTGAAAGTTAGATAGAATAATTTTCATATAGTACTGAATTTTTCTTGTTTTTTCAGATCTGGAGGCGTTGTTTTGAATATTTAAATATATATTGACTTAAATCTAAGCTACAATATAATCGGGTAAAATAATATTGCCTTGGTAGAAAGTATGTGCTTATTTATCTTTTGTTTAGTTCTGTTATATTCATTAGAACTACTTTTTTAGCAATACATCCACAAATACCTTTCCTTTCCACAGGCTTTTCGTATTTCGGTTATATGAATTTTGGCTAACGGAACAAACATCATCGAAAAATTTTCCCGAGTCTACTTCCAAGCGATTATTCCTTTTGTTCCGATGAAACTCGTATTTTCTTTCTGGATTTAAATTTTGACGATTTTTGCATGTTTCCTGTGATTTCAAAGTATTTCTAAAATCACGTTTTCAACTATCAGTGATTGACTTTCCGAACACCCGTTGAACAAACTTTGGTATCCTACTCTTTACATCCGATGCTTAACAATGTATCATATTCATTTACACTACTAACTACAGACATTAATTCAAAGCAATCGTTTAGCAGGAAGGCTTTTCTGTAAATTTTAGATATTCTGAGAAATTTTTTTAAAAAGGTATCACAAAAACGAAAATCCATCGTATTTCTTGTTTTTTACTTGAGACAAATATTTTAAACCTACTGTTCTTTATTATTATTGCAATAATTATTTATTATTTGGAGTATTTTTTAATAGACCTTTAATTCTCTGTCTAAAAAGAATAAATAAACTAGAACTAGATTACTGAAATATGTATGTACTGTAATAAAAAATTACAGACCAATATTTAAAACCTTATATTAATCTGGAATATTTTATTCTTCATTATAAAATTGATAATATACATAACTATTTCAATAGTACTTTCTATTTTATCTACAAAACAGGAATACGTACTTCAGATCGTAAAGAAAATGTTGGTATCAACCTTTCTTTTCATATTGATATTCTAAAAGTGTTATCTTTTTCACAAATAGCTTCCTTTTAACAGATTTCCTATACGTTGAAGATAATCTCCTTTTCTGGAAGACATTTTATCAGAATAAGGAAAAAAATTCAACGGGTCTTAAAAACTTCATTATAGTTGGATTGATGTGGTATAAGATGATTGTTTTTTTTTTCATTGTTCACAACGTGTCACTATTTATTCAGAATAATCAAGCTTTCTGATAATGGAACGTAAGACTTATCTGCATGCTTGCTTTCTTCCAAATACTAACTTTCACTCTTTGCTATAATTTCTAAAATGAATGCTACTTTAGTGGCTTTAATTTTGATGTTTAGCATTTGTTTGGTGGTTGGCACGAAAAACAATATGTGCAAGGTGCAATATGTGAAAGAAAATCCCAGAGTGATTTGCGAAAATGTGGTTAGCTTACGTGCTATTAGAAGTTACTTAGTTCTTAATTTGAAATCAAAGCCAGTTGCTCAACTGCTTTTCTATTGCATAATGACAAAGAAGCTAAGTTTATCTCGAAAAATATTTTTTGATCTCAAGATATCTGAAATAAGTATGAGTTGCCCCTTTGAAAGTATAAGAGACAACGCCTTAACCCATACTAGATCACTGACTAAACTACATCTTTATCAAACAGAATTTTGTAGAATACCAAATGCCATTAGTAGAATCAAGAGTTTAACAACACTTGAGATTGTGGACGGTAGATTAATTGAGATTACAACTGAACTTCAATATATGCCTGGGCTTGCAAACCTCTCACTGGCTCAGAACAGAATAAGCTCACTATTAGGCAATGCTTTCTTGGGTGATGTGAAACTCCAATCAATTATTCTTACGAGCAATAAGTTGAGTAGGTTAGATAATAAAACATTTGATCCGTGCCCAAGTTTACGATTGGTTAGATTGGACAAGAACAATCTCATAACAGTTGATGGTCTATTTCAAAATCCAAGTTTGATGGTAATTTTCTTTATTTTATATAAATTTTCATATGTAGTTACATGAAAGGACACTTGATAAATTTGCAAATGAAAAAAGTATGGCATTTATGGTGATAAGGTAATTTTCTAACTTTTGCTTCAATTGCAACTTTAATAGTTATATTTTTTATGCCTTCTTTTTAATTTCCCAATAATAAGCTTAAACAATCAAATGATTTACCGGGGCAAGTGTGGATATATAGGTGAGGTGTTTTGTATGAACATATCATTATTAACATCGTTCGAGGTTGAAATAGCTCTTTAGTAGAAAGACAGATTGCTATTTGCCACATTTGTACTAAAGTAATCGAGCACTTATGATAGTATTATTTACAGTACTTTTGTATCTTCATAACTGAAATACAGGTCTCTTCCCGTATATCAAATTTGTTCCGTTTATTAAGAAGAAATTACAAAAACGAAAATCGTATTCATTGTTAAGGAGAAATACTTTAAGCTTACAGTTTATTTTTATTATTATTTAGAGTATTTTCTACTAGGCCCTTACTTCTGTGCCAAAAAGTAATAAATAAACTAGAACAAATAATAGAATACTCTTATTGAATTATATGTGTACTGTAATAAAAGAATATTAACCAATGTTTAAAACCTTAAATTAATCTTTAATGTTAGATTTTTCATTATAAAATAGCTGACTTACATAACTATTATGATAGTATTTTGTAGTATTTATCTATTTTTTGAGAAACTATTAGCAAATTTCTAAGTGGCATTCGCACTTTATATTGTTGAAAGCTCTACTAAATGATGAAGCTTTTCCACTAACACCATTTTTTAGTAGAAATTTGTTTTTAATAATTAATAATAATACCCTAAAATGATGGATTGGACAACACGATGTAATGGTAATAGGAAATAAAACAATTTGTGAGATCCAATATATAATGTCGGTATCATTTTTTAATAAATGTTGTTTAATACTACAAATTTAAATTTGAGGAAAACCCCTTTCCATTTATAGCTTTCTTTCCAAATTAACAAATTCTACTTATAAAGTCAAAGTCTTATAAAGTCAAAGTTAGATAATTCCTAACTCAACTATATACAAACATGACAACTACATAACTAAATTCCAATTTTTGTATTATTTCATAACTAAAACACAGAGGCCGTGACTGAAAGTTAGATAAAATAATTTTCATGCAGTACTGAATTTTTCTTGTTTTTTCCGATCTGGAGGCGTTGTTTTGAATATTTAAATATATATTGACTTAAATCTACGCTACAATATAATCAGAGGAAAAATAGTACTGCCATTTCATCTTTTTCGTCACTCAGTTCGTGCTGATTGGCTTATGCTTTTTAAAAATACATACCTGCCAGCTTTTACGCATTTGACGTAAGATTTTATTTCTATATTTAAAGTGGTAGTAAAATGTATGCTTTCTATATATTCCTGTATACCCATTCAGAAACTTAATTTGTAATATTTTTTAACCACCACTATTTTTTAAAAAATTAAGCATATATATAAATATGAAATACTTCATATTCAATTATATAAACACAGTACTCTAGTCGCCTACAGGCATACCCTCCAACTGCTACGGAATTTCCGTAGTTTCAGAAATCTTCTTTTCAGACGGTAGCAAAATTAATGTCTTAATATTTAAAAAAAATTAATTTTAGCGTAACTTGTCCACTATTACTTAAAAAAGTGCAGGCCATACGGCTAGATTCTTAAGTTCTGATAAAAGTTTCATGAGAGATCCATTTGCTTTAAAAATTTTTACTTCGGTTCGCTACCACTAGAAAGAATTATTTTCAAAATCCTCATAAGTTGGAGGGTATGCCTACAGGTATCAACACAGACGAAGAAGTGGGGTGAACGCTCTGCGGCAGGTACTTCGTACTACATCTCAGCCTATGCTATTGAATTACGTATAAGCTTGATTTATATTCATTGTTTCTGTCAAAAATTGTTACTTAAATTCCATTTAACTACCACTGGGGAAAATCATCCTTGAAAGGATTAAAAGTTGGCAGGTAAGTAAATGTAACCTACGTCTCTAACTTAATTTCCCTTTTCGTAATTTCCATCACAAGAGTTGTTTTCCGTATGATTTTGCTAGTTCCAAAATTCCTTCGATTGCCTGTATCTACCTTAGTTCCATTTGTCGTATTTTTTTTTTACTTTCTGGGTTAAGCAGCATATCTTCAACCTACAAGAATGCGATATTTTAGAGTGCTTTCTTGATCCCCTGCAGGAATCTTTAGTACTAAGCCATCTAAAAAGCCCGCTTTATCCTCAGCTGAAATTCTGTGCTTATTTATCTTTCTTTTATTACCTTGATATTCCTTAGAACTACTTTTAAGGCAATACATACACAAATACCCTTCCTTTCCACAGACTTTTTCCATTTCGGTTTTATGAATTCTGGCTAACGGAACAAACATCATCGATAAATTTCCTCGAGTCTACTCCATGGCGATTACTCCTTTTGCTCCGATGAAACTCGTATTTTTTTTCTGGATTTAAATTTTGGCGATTTCTGTTCGTCTCCTATGACTCTAAAATATTACTAAAATCTGGTTTTCAAATGTCATTTATAGACTTTCCAAACACCGTTGAACAAACTTTGACATCCTCCTCATTACATTCGATGCTTAACGATGTATCATATTCATTTACACTGCTAACTGAGAATAGTCATCAGTTTCTAAACAATCGCTTAGCAAAATGGCAATGTAAATTGTAGGTAGTCTGAGACATTTCTTAAGATGGTATTGCAAAAACGAAAATCCATCGTCTTTCTCATTTTTACTTGAAACAAATATTTAAACCTAAGATTCTCACCTCAGTTTCTAACAATCGTTTCGTAAGAAGGCATATATGTAATTGTTAGGTAGTCTGAATCATTTTTTAGCTTCCAGATTAAGCATCTGGCATTCATTTTTTATTAAAGTTAATTTATACAGCTTGAATAGTTCTTTTTCTAAACACAGAGAGAAATAAAATGAGACTCTTAGCAGCATCAACTTTTCTTCTTCAGAATCAGATATTATTCTTTTAAATAAAGACATATCAAACTTTCCTCAATTTAATATTGCCCATTATACTTCTAAACTAATTAACATGCATTAAGAGAATTCTTCTTAAATAGAAGAGTATTCTGCCTTCTGGCTCATGTTGTAATTAGTTTGGTCAATGTATTCTAAACTAATGACTTTCTTTTTTTCTTTTTCTTACAGAATATAGATTTAGGTTGTAACCTATTGAAAACAATACCTGAAGATCTTTTCTACAATTTGGAAAATGTCACTAGTGTTAATCTGAAAAGAAATTATATAAGGAATGTTACAAAATGGTTTTCTGGAAGTAATCGCTTAGAACATATCGATTTAAGTATCAACTTAATCGAATCTTGCGATTATGCATTTCAATCGATGCAATCGTTGAAGACTATTAATTTACATGATAACCGTCTTAGTAAAATAACAAAGAATTGCTTTTCGTCGATTCCATCGGTGGTAGAATTGATACTCAGTCAGAATTTTATTTCCCAAATCGATTCCAAAGCTTTGTCTCAGCTAGACCGGTTACAAAGCTTTGATGTGTCTCTTAATGGACTAAAAATATTGTCAAGGGAATCATTTCCTGAAGTTTTAAAGATTCAAGAATTATTTGCATATGGTAAGTAAATTTAATCTCCAACAATTTTCATCGGAATTTCAGAAACAAACACAAAACACACAAAATTATTTCTATTCAATTCCATTGCTTTAAGAATTGATATTCTTTGAGAAATGTATTTCCCGAATCGATTCAGAAGTACTTTTTCAACTAGAACAATTAAAAAAGATTGATTTGTCTCTTGACAGACTATCAACTTTGTCTAGAGAATAGTTTCCTAGAGCTTTAACGATTCAAGAAATAATTACAACAGATAAGCATATTTTTTTCTCTCTCGATTAGCATCGGAAAATTCGAAAAGAATTTTCTCAACCGCAACGAATGCATATTTGGTCATCGAACGTCAATATTTAATTCAAAGTTAATTTTCCGCGTCATGACTTACATTCAATTCGAATATGTATAACTGCTAAGCCACTGAACGCGATTACAGCGCCAATAAAGTTATAATTAAAATGAAGTGTAGGTTACAAAAACTGTCCTGTAATAGACTGCAAACTTTGAAAAGAGAATCGTTCCCTGGTGTTTTAGAGATTCAAGAAATATTTACATTTGATAAGTACATTTAATCTCCATCAATTTGAATCGGAATATCAGAAAATGAAATTATCTTCACAGTTGTAGCAAGGATTGCGTTAACCAGGTGGTGATAGTCTAAGTAAAAAATAGTGACAAATATCACAAGTGGCTGTTGAAAATTTGGATTCTTTAATTATTAATTATCTGAGTTTTTTAAAATTCTATATCTCAGGAACTATTCGACCGATTTCGCTCAAATTTTATATTTTGGCATCTAGATCCACTTTCTTTAAAATGATGTAAAAAGCTGTATACCTTACAAATCAACTTTTTTTTAATTTAATAAATAAAATAATAAGAAATATGAAATATTTACTATAGTTCTATTTGCCTGGAATTTTCATTGGAAAAAACAACATTTTTAATTCTGTTAAAAGGTTTTTCAATTCGCTTAAAAAGTTTTCGAGATTTGGGAAAATACGAAAAAAGAAAAATTAACATTAAGGGGTCCAAACAAACAAACTATAGGGAGCATATTTCCCAAATTGAGGCTATTCCCCACATTTCGATGATCAGAGATCTGGATCCATCGAAGGAATGGTATGTTTAATCAGAAAAAGCAAGTTTTTTTATTCTGATTTCGTAACTAATTAACACTTATTAATTAGCATATTTGATTCTACACTAATGAATCAGCATATTTGAGATTTTCCCTTCGAACCATTATGATTGAGTCCTAGAACGTGAAGTTCCTCATATTAGATAAAAAGTTATTTAATTTGGTCAGATTGTTATTTACGCACAGAACGTTGATTACCGAAAAGGTACTTTTCTTACATATATGAGAATAAATTGCTCATCAACATAATTGAATGAGGAATTTATTATCATATTTATGGCTCACGTTACATCACTGAGAAAAGTATCTGATATTTTTAATGTATTCATCAAAAAAAATTTTACAGTTCAATATTTATAAGAAATGAAATTGGCAATATCAACTAAACTCTTCCTAATTTAAAAATTTAATATATTCACATTCTTTTTATTTTATAGGAAATTATTGGGTGTGTGATTGTCGTCTTTTGTGGCTCAGAGATTGGATGGCAAACACAACATTAAATACATCAAATTTTGATTTTTCTTGTTCTTTGCCAATCAGGTTCAAATCAAAACAGCTGAGCCAATTGACTAAAGAAGATTTATCTTGGCCAAAAGAGGACTGCCCATTGTATTGTGACTGTTCGTGCGTTGCCTACAGAGACGAGGGATACGCAAATGTGAATTGCGCATCAAAAAGATTGACAAAGGTATTTATTATTACTTTTTATAATCTCTCTGGTTTCATTACTTTTTGAATATCATAATATTTATTAAAATAAAAAAAATCGTTTAGAGGAAAGCTCAAAATAGTTGGATACTAAAGAGTTTCTTACTTTACTTTTCTACTGTCATTTAGTGTTTAGACACTGAAAAAAGGTTTTTATTTAAAGAACCAGAATTGTAGTTTTGGTGCTATTAGGTCTATTCCGGTATTTTATTTTACGTTGTTTTTAGTTTTATTCTTTTCCTTTTTTTTNTTTTTTTTTTTTTTTTTGCTCCAACATTTAAAAAATGTTATGCTTGCATAAAAGTTACAAACCAATTTTATATTTTTGCCGATTTAGTTCAAATAGACTAAACTGTAACTCTTTTATGGAATGTCTTAAATTTATAAAGCTCAATCTACAATGCGCACAAAAAAAAGCTAACAACTTTAATAGTTTTCGATTTAATGATCGGATTTCCCGGAATTAAGACTCACATTTTATGATCCGCAGGCTTAACTATAAATATGCTGTGATTAAATGTGCTATTAATTCTGTATATGAATTCGTTATTGAAAGTATCGTTTGCACAAATCGGTTGTCATAATTTAGGGCTAGTAATTTATGGTTAACTATTGAAGGATGCAAATACACAAGAATTTCTATTTCATTGTTAGCAACGATATTGCAGGGTCAAAAGAGTAATTAATGAGTAAAAAAGTGTGCTTTTTATTATAAACCGTTTTAATAGCAAGTTGAAATTAATATTAAGCGGTTCAAACTGTCACCCACACTTCTCACCGAACAATCGGGGCTATATTTTGCAAATCGGGGCAGCCTCCCACAATTTGAAGGTGAAGAGTCCGAATCCGCCTTAAAAATTTTATGTTTATTCAAAAATACGTTATTCACGTTTTATTCGTAACATTATATATCGTCTACTCTAATAATTTAGCATATTCAAGAATAGATCTTAGAACCATTAAGGTTGACTCCGAATACGTGAAAATCTGACCATTAAATCGAAAGTTATTATGCGCTACAGTTTTCTTTTTTTTGTGCAGTGCAGATATTTTTTTATAAAAATTTCTATTGTAATATATTTTTTTTAAGCAATAGCGTATTTTGATATTTTTTTTAAGATACCAACTGGATTTCCAGAATTAACTATTGAACTAAATCTTCAAGAAAACTTGTTGTCTAATCCAGTCGAGATCAACCTTCCTTCGACGTCCAAGCTACGTATTTTGAATTTGGAACGAAACTTTATCTCACGATTGGATTTCAATCTTCCGAACAACATAGAGGTTCTTTTACTGGCAGAAAACAATATTACAAGATTCTTCAACATTCCGCCGTCTAATGTCAAGACCTTCACTTTATCTCGAAACCCGTGGCAGTGTGATTGTAATACTCTACCGTTTAGAAAGTGGATCATAGCACACAATTCTGAGGTAAGTTATAACTTAAACCATTACCAATCAATTGCTAAATCAATCTTATTTAAATGCTCCAAAACTTAGAAATTAAAAAACACGCAATAAAAGATTAGTTGCCTGAACACATAAAGCCGGAGTGATAGTGTAGATTTGTGAAATTCTTCCAAACATGTTCATATTTAATGCATATATGCTATCATGCTTTTTAAGGGCAAATTTCTTTGTTAATAGAATTGTTCCTTTTTCTTAAACTACTACATAAGTTTTTTTAAATCATTAATTTTAAGTAATGAGAAGAAAGATCATGTAAACACTTTCTAGCAATAAATGTCAAATGACCAAATTTGTGTCGATAACAATAATCGGTTATACTTGTAATTTTAATTTGCATTGTNTCTACACTAATGAATTAGCATATTTGAGATTATCCCTTCGAACCATTAAGATTGAGTCCTAGAACGTGAAGTTCCTCATATTAGATAAAAAGTTATTTAATTTGATCAGATTGTTATTTACGCACAGAACGTTGATTACCGAAAAGGTACTTTTCTTACATATATGAGAATAAATTGCTCATCAACATAATTGAATGAGGAATTTATTATCATATTTATGGCTCACGTTACATCACTGAGAAAAGTATCTGATATTTTTAATGTATTCATCAAAAAAAATTTTACAGTTCAATATTTATAAGAAATGAAATTGGCAATATCAACTAAACTCTTCCAAATTTAAAAATTTAATATATTCACATTCTTTTTATTTTATAGGAAATTATTGGGTGTGTGATTGTCGTCTTTTGTGGCTCAGAGATTGGATGGCAAACACAACATTAAATACATCAAATTTTGATTTTTCCTGTTCTTTGCCAATCAGGTTCAAATCAAAACAGCTGAGCCAATTGACTAAAGAAGATTTATCTTGGCCAAAAGAGGACTGCCCATTGTATTGTGACTGTTCGTGCGATGCTTTCAGAGACGAGGGATACGCAAATGTGAATTGCGCATCAAAAAGATTGACAAAGGTATTTATTATTACTTTTTATAATCTCTCAGGTTTAATTACTTTTTGAATATCATAATATTTATTAAAATAAAAAAAATCGTTTAGAGGAATGCTCAAAATAGTTGGATACTAAAGAATTTCTTACTTTACTTTTCTACTGTCATTTAGTGTTTAGACACTGAAAAAAAGTTTTTATTTAAAGAACCAGAACTGTAGTTTTGGTGCTATTAGGTCTATTCCGGTATTTTATTTTACGTTGTTTTTAGTTTTATTCTTTTCCTTTTTTTTTTTTTGCTCCAAAATTTAAAAAATTTTATGCTTGCATAAAAGTTTCAAACCAATTTTATATTTTTGCCGATTTAGTTCTAATAGACTAAACTGTAACTCTTTTATGGAATGTCTTAAATTTATGAAGCTCAATCTACAATGCGCACAAAAAAAAAGCTAACACCTTTAATAGTTTTCGATTTATTGATCGGATTTCCCGGAATTAAGACTCAATTTTTATGATCCACGGGCTTAACTATAAATATGCTGTGATTAAATGTGCTATTAATTCTGTATATGAATTCGTTATTGAAAGTATCGTTTGCACAAATCGATTGTCATAATTTAGGGTTAGTAATTTAAGGTTAACTATTGAAGGAAGCAAATACACAAGAATTTCTACTTCATTGTTAGGAACGATATTGGAATGTCTAAAGAGTAATTAACGAGTAACAAAGAGTGCTACTTATGTATAATAAACCGTTTCAACAACAAGTTGAAATTAATATCTAGAGATCCAAACTATCATCCACACTACTCACCGAACTATCGGGACAATATTTTCCAAATCGGGGTAGCCTCCCTGAATTTTAAGGTGAAGAGTTCGAATCCGATTTAAAAATTGTATGTTCATTCGAAAACACATTATGCACGTTTAATTTGTAACATAATTAATCGTCTACTTTAATAATTTAGCTTATTTAAGAATTTATCTTCGAACCATTGAGGTTGACTTCGAATACGTGAAAATCTGACCATCAGATCGAAAGTTATTGTCGGCAACAGCTTCCTTTTTTTTTGTGCAGTGTAGATATTTTTTTTTATAAAAATTTCTATTCTAATATCTTTTTAAGTAATAGCATATCTTAATATTTTTTCTAAGATACCAACTAGATTTCCAGAATTAACTGTTGAACTAAATCTTCAAGAAAACTTGTTGTATAATCCAATCGCGATCAACCTTCCTTCGACGTCCAAGCTACGTATTTTGAATTTGGAACGAAACTTTATCTCACGATTGGATTTCAATCTTCCAAACAACATAGAGGTTCTTTTACTGGCAGAAAACAATATTACAAGATTCTTCAACATTCCACCGTCTAATGTCAAGACCTTCACTTTATCTCGAAACCCGTGGCTGTGTGATTGTAATACTCTACCGTTTAGAAAGTGGATCATAGCACACAATTCTACGGTAAGTTATAACTTAAACCATTACCAATCAATTGCTAAATCAATCTTATTAAAATGCTCCAAAACTTAGAAATTAAAAAACACGCAATAAAAGGTTAGTTGCCTGAACACATAAAGCCGGAGTGATAGTGTAGATTTGCGAAATTCTTCCAAATATGTTCATATTTAATGCATATATGCTAACATGTTTTTTAAGGGTAAATTTCTTTATTAATAGAATTGTTCCCTTTTCTTAAACTACTACATAAGTTTTTTTAAATCATTAATTTTAAGTAATGAGAAGAAAGATCATGTAAACACTTTCTAGCAATAAATGTCAAATGACCAAATTTGTGTCGATAACAATAATCGGTTATACTTGTAATTTTAATTTGCATTGTTACAGAAAATGATTGCATCGCTCAAAGTTATTTCCTTAAAGGTGAAATATAAGTAAGGTTTAAGGGGTTTATATTAGGAAAGCAGCTACACCTCTAAAGCTTCGTTATGCTATATTATTAATATACCGATGCCTAGTTATGGACATGCACTCGTTTCCATGGGACATTTTTACTTTTCAGAATTATGGTCTGCCAAAGTAAGTGAAACATTCAGTTTTGAGCGTTTTCTGCCCTGAAAATCTTGGTTAAACAACAACACCCTAATAAATATTTTTTTTGCTAAATATTAAAGTTCACTGTTTAGACAACACTGGTACTCAGCACTTTACTGGATAAATGACGCTTTTAATAAATATAACCATTGAAGCATTCAAAAATTTCAAATTCTACATATTTTTATTTAGATTATCTCAAAACAGCATCGTTGCTCACAAAAAAAAATGTATATATAAATAGGGTAAAGCAACCAGTGAAGGAACAATTCATAAATATTTTGCAAAACTAAGATTTCAAACGTTTTTACTTAAGGCCTGGTTTCTTAAGACAAGCGCCTTATCTGAGCGTTAGCGGGACGTTGACGTACCGCTGACGCCAACCTGTCCTAACAAACCAGGCCCTAGTTAGCTCAGCGTGAGCAGTCGGTCCAACGCACAAGCGACTAGGGGGCGGACGATTCCATAATGTTTCGTCGGAAGAGTAAAAATAGGGACAGAGGGAAATTACACTGAGAATATTGGGTATTTTTTCATTCGCTTTCTTGGCGTATTGACTAAATTTCAATGGTTTGCCGCCACCGTTCGCTTTTGTTTACGTTTATTTTTCGCGACATTTGCTCTCATTTTTGAAATCGTATAAAATATCTTAAGGCCTGGTTTCTTAAGACAAGTGCCTTATCTGAGCGTCAGCGGGACGTTGACGTCCCACTGACGCCAACCTGCCCTAATAAACCAGGCCCTAGTTAGATCAAAGTCAGCAGTCGGTCCAACGCACAAGCGACTAGAGGCGGACGATTCCATAATGTTAAAAACTTCGAGTTTCGTCGGAAGAGAAAAAATAAGGAAAAAGGGAAATTACACTGAAAATATTGGGGATTTTTTCATTCGCTTCCTTGGCGTATTGGCTAAATTTCAAAGGTTTGCCGTCACCGTTCGCATTTGTTTGTGTTTATTTTTTGCGACATTTGCTCTCATTTTTGAAATCGTATAAAATATCTTATTTGTTGAATTTTTTCGTTATGTTTCTGTTTTTATTATTGTTTATCTGTTTCGCTTTTGTCATAATTTTTTTTTTACTTTAAAATTAGTTTTTTTGTTGTTGTTAGTTTTAATTTGGTTATTTGCGTGCTGCAGTTTATAATGGATGATGTTCAACATAAATGTGTTAAATGTGAAAAGATATATTCAATTTGTATAAACATATACGTCTGAAGCATCCGGATAAAAGTTTGGAAAGTATGCTGTTCGGATCACGATCCGGCATCAAATGTGCTGTTTGTAATAAAACATTTCCGTCTAAAGCGAAATTGGATTTTCATGTTGAACAGACACATGATATTAAAATCCAGAAGGAAATTTTTAAATTTTCTTCGTTACACTCATTTTCATCTTAGAAAGAAAATATTGAGCATGAAAATCATGTAATGTATGTCGAGAATTCTGGATCTAAAGAGAATGGTAGTTCTAAAACCACCTTTTACTATTGTTATCGAAGTGGAGTGTCTAATTCTAGAGGTATTGGAGAAAGAAACATAAAATGCATGGGTAGCCAACTTCTTATTAACAACAAACTTCTAACCAGTAAAGGAATCGGCATGTTCCTTCATCGGGAATAGATATCCCAGTGAATGAACAGTAGGTATGAAATATGATTTCACATGGCTCTAAGATAATTAGTAGTTCTGCGATATAGCGGACACCCAAAATTCTGTAAAACGTTTTATGAATAATTTTTAAAATATTTTCATTTCAAAATGCTTATTTAATTGCCATATTTATGGAAAGAATTATAATCATAATTTATTTATAATTTATCTTTATAAATGTAGTGGTTAGCTTCATCATACGTTCAACAGCTTAATAAACTATGTTTATTAATCGAAAACTACATAAATATAATAATAAAAACTTAAATAGAAAATTTTTTTGCTGGCTTTCGTGCCAATAATTA